AATCTATGCAGAAATAGAAGTATAATGATGTACACCTGAAATTTATACAACGTTATAAACCAATGTTACTGCAATAAACAAAAAATTAAAAAAAACAAACAAACAGATGAAAAGGGCATTTTTACAATGGAGGAAAAATCTTGAATGTTACTGAATTAACTTATATTGTCTCCTCCATCCCATCCTGCACCCCAAGCCTGTTTCCTGTTATTTTCACTTTAGATTGTGTATGTGAAAAACAAACATAAGTTTGGGCCAGCGTTAGCTGCTGTCCTCAACAGAGAGCAAAAAACCCTTTATGTGAGACTCTGAATGCATGGATATCCATTATTTATACACTATATTTGGGAGATGGAAAATGGAAGATTGTGGTTCTTTAGCCATTAAAAGCCCTGCGCAGGAAGCTATGATTTCTCTTTCCAAGAAGGAAATAAGTGTTAAATGTGGAAGGGAAATTTTATGTAAAAATATTTTGCCCTATTTTCTTCCCAATGTAAAGGCGTACTGAGATAAGAATTTTTTAAAAATAGAGAATGACTTTTTCTTATGTCTACTTTTAAAATGTTAATTTAACTTCCTAACTAATAAATATTAGAATTATATGATTTCAGATTATATCATAATTGTTAGCTAATACCAATGACTCAAATAGATCCTAAATTGTAATAACAGCAATTTAGATATAATTCTTCAGTGGGGATAGGAGAGGAACTCAATAGCTGTGAGGCACCTCTGTCAGACACTACCACACTGCACTAGACATCCCTCTGGTTTTTGCAAAAACCAGAGAGACCTTATCATCCACGATTTACAGCTAAGATGAAGAAACTAAGGCTTCCAAAGTTTAGAAAGTGAGAATTAAAAAAACCCTTAAGTTTTAATTTATTTATTTTGAATACATTCACGTGGTTCAGAATTCAGAAGTTTCCTTCCATCCCTGCCCACAGCCATCTATTTCCCGCCTCCTCTGTGGCAACAATGACATCACCTCTGGGTGTCCTACAAGCATATGTACATTATATATTTATGTCATGTTTTCCTTTCCTTTTAACACAAATGGCAGCATACTCTGCACACTGAGCTAAACCCTGGGAAGCCAGGATCTCAGTCCCTTCCTAAAGACAATGTTTTCTCTGTTTCTTCCTTCACATGCTTACCTTTATTTCCTGCATCCTCTATGATTTGATATACTAGCTTTTCTTGGTTATCTGATCCTTTCATTTTACTGCAGGGGAATAAGACAGAATTAAGAGGCAAAGAGGTACAGGATAATCTAATAATCTACATGACTACTTAAATGAATTAGCAGACAAGGTCACCACATTGACTTATTTACCAAAAGGGCTTACCTTAAAAAGAATGAGACAGGGCTGAATGTACCAGAATGAAAAGATGTCCAAGATACAGTAAGTGAAAAAAACAAGTTGCAAAACAGTATGGATAGCATGATCCCATTTTTGTTTAAAAAAAAAAGAAGAAAAGAGATTATATATAAATATATAGTATATAAATATATAATCACCTATATATATTTATATATACCAAAAATAAGAGCAGTTATCTCTGGGAAATGGAACTCATGATAGGAGGCAGGAACGATATGCAAGACAAGTTTACACTATGCAATTCTATATTAGCGTTTTTTCCCAAAACATGTATTACTTTTGTAGTAATTAAAATTTTCTTAAAATAAAAAAATTCGATGCTTACCCAGCATTCTGAGAATCCTTTATTCTATACAGAAGGCCAGTATTGCTCCTTAAGAGATCCAACTGACCCTAAAGTTTTTTTTACAGAAAATAGCAGTGAATTATTTTGCAGATACATCAAATCCAACGACAAATTTTAATGCATTCTTTAATATTTTACAGAGACTAAAATATCCTCCCTCCCACAGTTATCTGTCAGTTCCTCACTTGAGACTTAAGTTTTTGCCTACACATCACATGCAATGTATTTTTCAAAACTTAGCTCTTTATCTAATTATTTTCCAAAATATTAATACCTGACGATTTCCTATATGCTAGATCCTGGCTTGGTTATATGATCAATGCATAAAGAATTTTAAACAAGCAGCTTTAGAATAATAAATAAAAATCCATATTCAAATTTAAATAAATTCAATGAATATATATAATGTAAATATAATAAAAATTAAAATATAATTTATATAAAGAAGTTCAAATGAAGGCTAAACATGCATAAATATTCTATAACATGATGACTAAATAAAATTCACAAAGTTAATAGTGACATTTACTTATATGAATGATTTCTACTGTGTTACGTGAAAATTAGGCAGAAAGGTCAACCAATGAATAAAAGGTCTGTAGTTGCTTTGTTTTTATATAACAAATCAAAAGTAAAATAAACCATGTCTGACATGCTTCTGAATTTCCTTGGGTCTGAACTTAGGAATACATCCAGACATCTGTACCACTGGACTTCTGGCAGTTCTGGGAAGCCATGACTGACAGAGGCTCCATTCCCATGAGTTAAGACTGGGCAGACCCATGACTTGGAAATGGGTTTCCATATGGATGAACAGCAATACCCTCCCTCCCTCACCAGACCCCACTAAGTGGCAAAATCTAACCACAAAATTCAATTTGACAGCTCATTTAGTTGTTTAATTCAGCTATGAACCTTTACTGAACACCTGTACTGTGATAGGTGTTTGGGGGGACAAACATGAATTCTGAAAGAGAATCACACAGCTAGCTTCAATACCATCTGGTTGGCGTTAAGATAGAGGTAAGTAAAGGGTGGGATGCGCTCTCAGGGAAGAAGCTTTGGCCCAACCTGGGGGGTCAGGGAGGCTTCCTGGAAATGATAGTAGAGCTGAGTCTGGAAGGATAATGAGGAGTTAGTTTGTGAAGAAAGAGAAGAAGAGCCTTCTAAGCAGGGAAGACAGCAGGAGCAAAACACCTGACACATGAAATAGCATGATATGGCAGAGACCCAAAAACAATCTGTTCCCTCTAAAACACAACTTTTGAGTCAGAGTGGTCAAGGAAGGTGAGGCAGGTGAGAAAGGTAGGGGCTCAGTGTGGTAAACCCAGGAGTTTGGACTTGAATCTCTAGCGTTGAGAAAAGAATTTTTGGTGGGAAAGTGACTTGCTCAGATCTGTATTTAAGACAGGATGGCTGCTCTGAGGCAGACGGAGCCAGGAAAGTCAGTTAGGATGCACTGTAATAGGCCAGGTAAAAGCCAAGAGTCTGAATACATGCAAGGGCAACAGGAATGGAAATGGGGGGGCGGGGACAAATTTGACAATTGTTTAAGAGCTAAAATCAGCAACACTTTGTGATTTATTAACAATTACTTCTTGCTTAAAATTCTTCAACAGCTCCACCACTTCCTACAGCCAACAGGACTGGCAGAAGGCGGGGCTGCAGAGGTGGTGAAAGAGGGAGGTGCCGAGGATCATTCTGACAGAAAGGAAAGGGCTGAAAGGGCGGTCCAAAGACAAAAAACATCTTCCATTGCTACATCCTTCCAGTATCCCTCCCTCTACCCTTCCTGGAGCTGAAGACCTTCACCACAGGGAACTGACTAGAAATCACCAACATTCCTTTTTCCCTTGGGCTAAAACACAGGTCGGCAACCTCGCCCCCTGCGTTTTTGTAAATCAGGTTTTACTGGAAAACAGCCATGCCCATGTGTTTACATGTGGTCCACAGCTACTTCTTGCCAAGTTGAGTAGTTGTGACAGAAACCATATGGTCGGTAAACCCAAAAAAATGTACTATCTGGCACTTTATAGAAAAAGTTTGCCAACCTCTGTGCTAGAAGCTTAAAGGGAGTGGTTTAACAGAAGATTCACCTGTCCTCAAATCTCCATATCAGAGCCCTTAGAAATCCAACAAAGCTTAAAAAGCAAATCAGTCTTCAGATGAGTCCTTGGTCCTTTACCTAATCGCTACTACAACCAGACTGAAATGCTCTCAGAATGTGGGGATTTTGATGATGAGGGAAAGGAAAGAGAAATAGGTAGATCTAGCGCACGGAGTACCAATAGGTGGTATGTGTTTGGACAGTTGAAGGAGAATGACATTAGGGCCCCAGGAGAACAGAAGAGGTAAGAGCAGGTAGAGGGCGTCACTGAAAAACCCCAATGCAGTGTCACTGGGAGCTGAGCCCACCTCCTCCCAGAGGCCCAGCACTGTTGACATTCAACCGGACTCATTCTTGCCTCCTGAAATGCTCAGAGTGAGAATGTGGAGAGTAATATCCTAATGAACTGGCTCTGTGATGACTGTCAGAAAAATCAGGAGGGTAATATTTCATGGGGAATGGCCCAACACTAGCAGTAGGAAGCAAACAAGGTAAGAACAGACTATGCTTATGTGTCCTTATGTTTCTTAATGACAGATTAATAAATACAACAGTTAAAGCAAAATACATTTATTTCATTCATCTTGTAAAATGATGTGTAATTATTTCTTCTTTCCTCAGTTTAGGCAATCTGAGCTGTTTCCCAGTTTGCAGTCTTATCAAAGTCACAACCTAACACACTTTTGAATGGTTTCATGACTATATAATAGAAGTAATGACAATCATAACATATAAATAATTACGTGAACTAGTTGGATTCACCTTACCATGGACAACAGTCTATTGATGGCCACTGCCCGTTGCTGGGCTTCTATGTGAGGCATTTCATTCTGAATTACTTGGTCTGTGATTCCGTGAGGGAACTGCTGACATAATTCTATAATTCTAGGAACAAAGGCATTAATGATATTATTCATGTTTTCACCTATTTCAAGAGGCAGTGGGAGAAAAATACAAGCAAAACAGTTTGAAATTGTGCCTTTTCTTCACATTTGGCAGATAATCTGGGTTTCTATGATGGTTCTGAATCAAAGCATATTAGAAATTGAGGAAGATGCTTTCAAAATACACATTTACATTATTATTGTTATTTAAGGGAACTATTTCTTTTCCTCACCCATAGGAACTTCAAATTAGAACAAAGTCAAATGAAAACAGAAAAAAATATTAAAACTGAGGCTTCAATTTTCTCAGAAGGAGCAAGTATGACAAAGTTAAGACACAGTGCCTTGGATAACCGTTAAGTCTGTAAGCAGGAGGCGAATCAGACACTTCTGATGGGAAGCCCAAGATTTGTTACGACAATTCATCACAGTTGGGGCCTGTTTTCGGAATTATCCCTACCAAACAAAAATAAGCCCGAATCTTCACCTTGTCATAAGATCATCATATGTCTTATTCCTAACAGTTTGAGAAAGTTGGGGTCTTCTAAAACTATGTAGTAACCTAAAAATTGCAGTACACGGATAGAGCATATAAAATTGGGAGAGCCTTTAGGTGCCCTAAAATCTTGACTTAAATACTGCATCGAAACCATTTGGCTTATGATGCTTCGTAATCGCAAACTGCACCCTAACTTTGCTCAAACGTTCTGTCGTGGGAGTTCCCTTAGCTACAAGACCGATCCTGGATCAGAACACGTATCCACAGGTACTACAGAAAAAACGCCAAGTCCTCTCTGAGCGTCCATCACCTTAATGTAGGAAGGAAGTGCATCACCACAACTTTTCGAACAGCCTCGGGGCAAGGTCAGCTACACAAGGTTGCAAACTGTCAAATCCGTTTCGAACTTCTTAAGAGTTCTGCTCTCTGAGGGTGGAGGTGGGCGGCAAATCCCGCACTCCCTTTCCTGCGCGCTCACGGAACTTGCTCTGGTATCTACCCAGGCTCCCAAGAGAATGGGTCCGGCTGCGGGGGCTCCCGAGCCGGGAACCGAGCCTCACTCAGTGGTTTACCTGTTTTCTATTTCCACCGGATCCGCGTCGGGCGGCTGCACCTTCACCTTCACCTCAGCCATGAGGGCGCAGTTCCCGGTCCCTGGGGGAGGAGAGGCAGGGAGCGGTCGGAGAGCCAGCGGGAGAACCCGGGAACCAGCGAAGACAGCACCCGGCCCGGGCAACGGGCCTTCTTCCTCGTGTCGCAGCCGGTCCTTCCTTGTCTGTCGGCTTGAGGTGGCCAAGCCGCGCCTGCTTCGCCTCCCTTGCCCGCGCCGCTAACATCTTTTTCTTGTTTTCCACAATGTCAGTGCTTTTCAGATGAACGAGCATGGCTTTCCCATTCTGAGTTGGGACTCCACCTCTAAGCACTCTCCAGCCTCTGTGAAGGCATATTCCCGGATGCCTACGGTGAAGCCTTAGGAAAGGAGCCCTGGCCAAGCGGCAGGGGCGGAGCTGGTTGCTAGGAAGCGGGTTTCCACCAATCACCTGCCCCGCAGTGGGCGGGGCGCGGCTCGCAGCGTCTGTGGTAACCCGGACTGCGATGCAGGAAAAGGCCAGAGGCGGTGAGAGGTGCGTTCCCTAGCTGCGGGCGCCGGAGGTACCCCGGGGGTCCCTATCCGGGTTCTGGTGGCCGGCGGAGGAAGAGGAGAAGGAGGGCCTCCTTTAGTCCAGCCGAAAGGGAACGGGCGTCCCTAGCTGCCCCTGGTGGGCGGGGACGGGAACGACACGGGGTTCCGGATCCCGGCGGTGAGGGGTAGTCTGGATGGAGGGAGTTGAGAGGTGGGCGGTGCTGTTGATCCCACTCTGTCGTTTGGGCGTAGCCGATCCGCCTACTTCTTGATCCCCGTCGCTTGGGGCCACTGACAGCATCAGCCTCCGAAGGGCAGCTCCTAGTGGCCGCGCGAATTATTTATTCCTCAACTATTTTTAGTTTGAACTAATTTTTCCACTATTTTTATTTTAACTGCCTCTCACTTAAATGGAAGAATGAGGAAGGGCACCCCTTGAGCCCAGCCCCCGTTCTGTAGGAGCTATTACTCTACTATCAGTATCTGCAGTTTAAATTCTTGGCCTCCTGTCTGAAACTATTCAACCAGGCATTAAGTTCACTCCTTAAATTTAGTTATCCTACTTTTGGGAATACAGTCTGTGACAAAGTTCAAATCCCAAGATGTTCAGAGCAGCATTATTTAGAATTGCAACAGCCAAAACTAAAAAGAAACTAGTAATAGCCTAAGTCCCCAACCACAAATTGATAAGTAAATACGTGGAAAATTATAAATGATAGAGTGAGGTGCAAGAAGTACACTAAGAAAAGTTGAATGAATATTTAGAGTACAACTGAGTAAAACCTACACATCCATAATCATTGAAATTTGAAAAGGCCATACAGAGATGTAAATGGTTGCTGTATTAAGGTGAGGGTCGCTTTTTTCCCCCTGAATCCTTTATGTATTAAAAATTATGACCTCACACCCCCCCCCCCCCCCCCCATCCCCAGGAGAAAGATCAGTAAGGCCTCCATACCCGTACTTAGGTATGTATAAATACAAAAATGGACTGAGAGTCTTTTGTGTTTGTTGCTCACTGTTTATATCCACGCCAACTTGCTTTCAGCTGAGGCATAATACTCGGCCATCCCTCTAGAGTTTCTTTGCAGCTT